ATTGTTTATAGAAATCATTCCCTTCTTTCAAAGTCTCAGAACAGTACCTACTTCTTATTATATTGACAGCTGCTAATAATAGACACACAGTCTAGTTTTAGTTCATTAATACAGATTTTTAAGCCAGTAAACAGCCCAATTTTTGGGATTATAGCTGGACCGTGGCAGCTAAATACATTTGACAATTTTCAAGATACTTTCCTTACAAAGGTATTCGGCACTTAAATGACTTTGAGTGATTCCAATCTTAGTTAATACTTCTGTTTTAAGATACATCTATGTTGTTATATTTCTGAGGCGTTGAGCTTCATATATACGTATGCAGTACATTTTTATAAATTTTCACGTATTTTATCTTTGTAGTATCTAACGACAATCCGTACTGTTTAATCGTCTTGATAAATATATCTATAATCTATCATGCTAAGTTCTTCGGAACTGCCTGCAAAAAGTACCCCCTTAAAACAACACCTATTTAATAAAAACTTTCTTGAACTCATTGGATTACGAAGTCCAAACTGCGTGCAATCTATATTTTTCTCGTGCCGTCCACATATTCTTTGGTTAATTATTTTTAGGAGTTTCACTAATTTAGACGACTTAATTATTAGGATAAAGTACAACACGATGTAGAATTTGACAGTACACATGGAAATGGGATGATCGATAAGGGCTCAAAGCCTTCATTGTTTGCAGAAACTTTGAAAAAAACATTAAGAATGTAATTAACAATGCTGAGAAAATGTACACGATAGTAGTGACACAAATCATACATTATAGGACAGTTTATCTATTTTGGAAAAATCCAGCCAGTCTAAGTAACAATAAACAAATTTTTACTGAAGTCTAAATTTCAAAAAGCGAACTGGGAAAAATTTACTGATGAATTGGAAACATAAGTAAAAAATATAGTCCCGATCCTTAAAAACTATGATATGTTGATCAAACTTGTAAAAAGAATCTAATGTAAACACATACCCAGAGGATGTCAACAATATTACATATCTGGTCTGAACGATGAAGCAAAAGACATTATGACAAAGTACACCAAAGAATATAGTAAAGACCTATTTAGCGAAGTTACGGCAGAGATAAGGGAGAGACTGCAGAGAATTTAAGTAAAATGGATATAACGCACAGTAGTAAGCAGGCTTGGAATATGATTAAAAAACTTAATGGTGATCCCATAAAGATGAAAGAGCTATGTGTAATAACGCGAAATCAGATAGCCCACCAACTGCTTCTGAATGGCAAAACAAACAATCGTTGCAAAACGCCAAAGATTATAAGAACTCAAGAAAAGGAAACAACTCTCTCGCAAAACCCATTTACCATTGAAGAGCTTAAAAATGGTATTGACTGTATGAAAAATGGAAAATCACCTGGGGTGGACAAAACCCTAACAGAGAAGATAAAACACCTCGAGCAAAACTGAACTACCGAGTAGCTACCGTCCGATATCTCTGCTGTGCCATTTGTATAAATTGTATAACCACCTCATTTTACACCGCATCCAGGAAACATTAGATGCAAAATTAATAGCACAACAAGCAGGCTTCATACCAGGTCAATCATGCACAAGATCTATAACACTGTGCTTGACTATGACCTGGTAAATATCAATAGATCACTGTTGTGTAATAGACGCTTCTACGTTGGGCTAAATGGAAATAAGAGCAGATGGACAACCCAAAAAAATGGCCTGCCTCAAGAAAGCGTTCTGGCGCCGTCCTTATTTAACATCTACATAAATGACCAACCAATGCACCCTCAGACTGAGAGTTTTGTTGACGACCTTGGTATAGCCGTAAAGGGTAAAACACTCACACAAGTAGAGTCTACAATGATAGAGGCTTTAAACATGATGTCAACTTACTACAAACAAAACTCATTAAAGCCAAACCCTACTTAAACCCAAGTATGTGCATTCTATCTCAACAACCAACTGGTGTATATCAAACTGAATTTTTCTTGATAGGGATAACGCTTGAAACATACTGATAGGCCCAAATATCTTGAAGTGATACTAGACCGGTCACTAACGTATAAATTTCACTGTCAGAGGACAAGACAAAAGGTTTCTACGAGAAACAACCTTTTCCGAAAACTTGTAGGGAGCAAGTGGGGTGCATACCCTCAGGTCTTGAGGTCAACAGCCTTATGTTTCTCAACAGGGGAATATGCTTGTCCCGTCTGGGATAGATCTAAGCACGCCCAACAAGTCACCACGGCGTTAAATAAAACATGTAGAATAATGACCGGTTGTATGAAGCCTACCCCTCTTCCCCTACTGTACCGGGTAGCTGGATTCGCATCACCAGACGACCATATAATAGATGCGCCTCGCAATATGTGGAGAAGTTCAGGCAAACTTTCGATGAATGGCACCAATTATACGGGTTTGACAAACGGCCAGGAATCAGCCGACTTAAATTAGGGAAAAAGTTTTTGAGAAATGTCAGCGTCGAACCACCAAAACTGTTCCCCCTAGATTCAGAACGACCTAATGGAATTAACCTGGACTGGAGAACCTGGCGGATATTCAATCGCATACGCATAGGTGTTGGCCTTGTAAAGCAGAACCTCATTAAATGGGGTATCAAGACAGACAGCGACGCACTTTGTGAATATGGGGAAATACAGAACGTGGAGCACCTGAGGGTATGCAGACTTTGCCCATCACAGTGCACCCTCCATGATTTATGGTTCGCGAATACAAAGGGTGTAGACATAGCCCGATTGGGCAAAAAAACTGTAGTCGGATCCAGACACGAAAAAGTAAAAGTAAGTACTGAAGTCTACAACAAAGTGAATGTAATACAAAGTTCCCAGAACCAAAGAAACAAAAACAATATTTTTAACCTAACCAAGAATACCATACAGACATCTTTAAAACAGCAGAGGGAGCTGGAGTAGTAATATTCGGAACTAAGAATAAATCACAAGGGAGCCATAAGAGAACTATAATCATAGATAGTTTAAGATAAGACTTGTTTAAACAGAAATGTACTCTATGTCTTAACTGGAATATTACAGGCCATTGTCGACTCAAAAAAACATTTAAGATAGTACCTATGACATAATGTCGATTTTGTGACGTAAAGGATAAAATCTGGCACTACATTATGTGGGGAAGAAAAGATAGAAATTAAGATTTATCTCTATTAAACATTCTAGGAGGAATAGAAATGAATTAGTGATTAAAATCACTGAGAAACCATAAAGACAGATAAGAAAAAATAAACACAGTAGATCTTACAATTTATATTATGACATTTTCCCTAAATTAATTACTATTAAACTGGGAATAAGCCACAATTAAAGATAAAAATACATTTATTGACGTTTCAATTTCCACTTCGGAAATCCTTTTCGAATTTCTATTTATAAAATTTCGATTTCCGAAGTGGAAATTGAAACGTCAATAAATGTATTTTTATCTTTAATTGTGGCTTATTCCCAGTTTAATAGTAATTAATTTACAATGCCACAAGAAAATAGCTTCAGAACAATTTTCCCTAAAAGTACCAACTAAATGCGGAGCTAGTTGAGGGCACACCAACAGCAACTATAAAAGCCCTATTGGATCATTACTTTTTACGTATAATTTTAAGTGAGTGGCGAGAATGTTATATAACAGACTACGAGACAAACTCAGTAATTTACCGATTAGATCAAAATATAGTAAAATCATAAATAAAATTAAGGATACTGATTGGATGATGATTTCTGACAATATGGTAGACAGGTATATGTCTAAAGTACCTTTCCAATTTTACATCAGCCCACAAGAAGGATGGGGCAAAGGCAGCAGTCAATTTAGACATATTTGCAGTAATATATCTGATAAACAGACCGATCTTAAACTGCAGAAAAGTCAAGCGCAGGAATATTCGATAGTAGTGGAAATTTTAACCTTTATATTCTACTAAGAGAATATACCTCTGTATTTCAAGCAGATATTTTTGTAATCTTGCAGTGTGCAATATTACTTAACATAAGGGCTATCAAACTGTAGCGGACCAATACTCGTATAGGCACAGATAGCCAAGTAACCATGAAGCACGTTCTAGAGTGGACTCTAGGCTATTGTGAGAATTCCGAGAAGAACTCGACTGACTGGTGGCACTTAAAAGTGTCACACTGGTATAAGTTTCAGATCACCGGGGTATACACGGCAATAAAAGAGGTGATGCAGTTACCAGAAGAGCATCGTCTACTAAATGCTTTGATCCATAAAAAGCCGATTGAGTGCCAAAAAGCATCGTCCGGGACCAGACAAAAACATGGATCTGAAGGCAACAACAAAACAAATACTTGAGAAAAACATGTAATAATCAGCTCCAACTTATAACAGGCTTGTTTACTTGACATGGGGCAGTTCAGGGATACCTGTATATTTTACATGACTGCGAGGCATTAAATCGCAGGTCGAAAACACTTTTAGAAGACAGCCTAGTAACTCCAAATATAAATGGCATCCATCCACTAGACCTATATAAACTGGTACAGGGTTTACTAGAATATAAAAGTAGATATCATGAAAGAATGAAAGTTATACAATAAGCCAATTCGCTACAGGATACAACCAAGAGACGGGAGTATGATAAGTTCTGGATTATGGAATCTGGAGTATTAAAACTGATAATACCATGTAATTTACTAACTTCTATTTTAATATAGTAAAAGTATCCAAGATTATCAATGAATAAATTCGGCTACTCAAAGGTTATTTTTGGGCTATTGGATCCTACTATTATCAGCTGGAAGAAAAATAAAAGATAGAAATGCCAAACAGTCTACTACTTAGATACATATTAACGTTGATTAAAGGAACAAAACGTATTTATTCATATGTATAACATTACACTTATTATTTTCATTACCTTTGATATTTTTTCTTTGTAATGTAGGTTATATTATTACTGAATATTGCTAATTATCTCATGCTACTGGTATAATATCACTGTGCTTTCATTTAGAAATATTTTGGATTTTAGGACCATCACATAACAAGAAATCTACTACTGTAGTTCAAGAAAAGTCGAATAATAACTCGAATAATAACTCTAATAAGACTGCTACGAGAACAAGTGTTCTGGAAAACTGCCGAGGAATTTTTAATACTTTATATAGAAAAATCAAAGGTCCTCAGAGAAGAAACGCTGGATCATTTAATTTGGAACCTCCAAACATGATTTTTAAAGGTAAGGTAATTAAAGTTTTAAAAATATGTATTATATAAAGCTTAAAAAAAGTAGTAGTTATAAATTTTATACAATTATACGAAGGTGCTCACGCTTTAAAAAACTCAAAAGGCAATCTGTAATCAAAAATATGTTAGCTTCTTTAACGGACAATTCTGATATTAGTAACTTTGTCAAAGTTGAATTAGTTGCTGAGAATACTGCTGTTTTTGGTAAAGAATAAGAAATGTTATATAAGAAACCAGTAGAAGAAAAACATACAAGCCTCTATTGTAAAAATAAGCTATAAATTTCAAAGAAATTCCAGAAAAAAAGGTATGATTAAAAAACTGCCAAAAAAGCTACACAAAATTAAACAATAAAATGTAAAAGTTGAGAGATCGAAGGAATCGATCACAACTCTTAAACAGTGGTATAAGACCTGAGCGTTTTGTCCGTTTTCAAAGATCTCTGTCTCTAGTCATTTCTTCTAATTTATGCATAGGTCTTTTGCATATGTCTGTAATTTTATTGATTTATCTTGTTGGGGATCTTCCTTGTGATCTCCAGTTCTTTAACTTTTCTTGGATAATAAGTCTATATATGTTTTCTGCGTCCGCTCTCATAACATGTCAAAAGTATTGGATATTGGGAGTATTAAAAAGTTAATCAACATCATTTTAGAGTTCGTGAAATTTGAGCGTCCTTACATATTTTGGCCATTTTTCCTATGGCGGCTTTTGCTAGATCATATTCCAGATATCAATCTACACAAACCGGTCAATCGTGGTTATGGTGGATGATTGTTATCCTTGACAGTCGATTCACTATCATGATCTTTGTCTTTGATATGTTTAACTGCAGACCAAATATTTGACTTTCATTTTTAACCAGTTGTATAAGATCAATTAACTCTTACTACTTACTTAGTAATTAACGTAGGTTGTTTATTTTTCGGCAATTTACTGAGATGCCCTTTTCTCCTTCTCCAAGCGGTCTTCTCATAATATGTATCAAATAATTGTGGATACAGTATACATGCTTGTCTCATTCCTTATTTTGGATGGAATACGTTTAAGATTAAGCACTTTAACTGTTTCAGTAATGTGTTTGTATACGCTAAATTAGGTGTTATGGTCCGCCTACTACATTTATTGTGTAGCCATAAGTGTTGCCATTTGACCCTGTCGAATGCTTTGCAATAATCTTTAAAACAAATGTAAAGTGGGACATTATTTATCATATGTTCAGAAGATATTCTGGAGTACTTCAACCTTTGGTAAATCCAATTTGTTCTTGGGATATTTCTCTTCGTAGGAAAGATTTCAGTATCTCATTGGGTAGCATTATTTTACTGGTATGTAAGATAGAAAAGATGGTTCTACTCGTATAGTTGTCGCATTAAAGAAAGCTGCTTTTTTTTACGTTTATGGAAGCTAAAATGGTCCCATTAATAAATGGGAGGAAAATCAAAAAAACGGCCATTACCAAGAATTATTTTGTAAGGTGTTACAAAATATATATGAGAATATTATAATTAATATGAGAAATGATCGAGATAAATATTCCTGAAGTACAATCCATAAAATTGCCTATTTCAATTTCATCTAGCGTTCTCGAATTGTCATTGGGAGCTATTTTTGAAAATGATTATTCTTGATATGCAAATCAAGGAAACTAGACAGTCTCCACTAATTTTCTTTTAGTATCAGTTTAGAAAACACATCACAATCATACGTTAAACATCAGAAAATTTCTCCTCGGATTCCGTTTTATCTGATCCGACACTAATGAGAATAAAAATATGACCTAAAATATATTTATTCCATCAAATTTACCACTCTTTTCTAGACCTGGAATAACACTTAATATTTTTACAATTCGTAATACAATTTAATATTTTTACTGGAAATAAGCCAAAATTTTACTTTAAATAGTCAAAAGTATATTTTGACGTTTTTATTTTTAGTTCGAAAATCGTTTTCAAAATATAATACAAAAAATTAAACAAATTTTGTTCTTGTTACTTGGTAAAAAAGTGATGTTAAGTAGGCGGTACAGTAGGCTAGCACGGAACCTTATACTATGTTTTCTATATTTTTAAAATTTGAATTTCATTTTAAATTAAATAAAGTAATTGTATTATTTATTTATTATTTATATTTTAAGCAAATTATATTATGTTCAAATATTTCAAGAAATTATTAAGTTTGCTACTTACACCACCTTTTAACGTATACATACGTAGTTAAACAAAGCATACGTTGGTTACTTTTGACAGACCTGTCAAATTCCAACGAAATAGTTAATTGTAATAAAGTATAAATAAATATTATTTGATAGTAAATTTAATTATTATATAAACTAAATATGTTTAAAAATAATTATTGTATCTATATAAAATTATTTTAAAACGAGAAATGTGTTAAAAATTTAAAGAGATAATTCAATATTGGTATATATTAATCGGATGACAATATTAATACTTTTAAATTTTCATAATCGTTGCGAATTGATTTCTGTCTGTATCTATATTTTGTTTGTTATTTTTCATGCAGTGCTTAATTTAAACTTGCTTAGAATAAATATTTGATAACTAGAAACGAATTTATCGAGAGTAGTCATCGTTGTGAAGAGCCGGTATTTTGTGAGGCTGACCATGACGACAGCATCTTGTGGCGCTAGTTCCGTGGCGATGCTATGTTGTGGCGCTAGTTTCGTGACGCTCGCCTTAACATTTTACTATAGAGAAAAAAGTAATACAATGCCAGTATAGAAGCTTCGCTTCAAGAATTCTTCTAATAATTTAATATTATCGCCAACCATCATTACAGACATTCATTATTGTACTTATTTACGGCAGTAAAGTAACATTTTATTCTACTAAGTACAACTAATCAAACAAACATTAATCCAGTTGACTGAAATTGAATGTCGCGTAGCAAGGAAGAATTAAAAGACAAGGAGGGTGGAGGAGTGAAATAATCGCGGTAGAGAAAATTATGTCGTTGAATTAGAGAACTAGAGAAGAATCGAAGAAGGTTTATAATAAAACCAAAAAAGCAAAAACTATTTTAGGGAAGCTGTTAATGGCAATATTAATACCTATATAAAATATGATTTATTGTCTTTAAAAAGACAAACACATACAATGATTTCAGTAAAGTTCTTCTATTAGTGATCCCATAGTAAATATATGTTTATATTTAGTTTACTTTAAAACTTATACTAAAAAAAATACCATTTTTAATAAGTCAATGACATATCGAGCATGCATCATTTATATTTTAAAATAATAGACATATACAAAACATATCAAAATATTAGAATTTAATGTTAATATTGAGAATACACTAGATGTAGGATTAAATCTGAATGGATGACACTGAAAATGGTATTCTACTAAATGGTTACCGGCTTAAGAACACCAGATATGCAGATGATACCATAGTATTTGTGGACAATTTAGAAGACCTACAAGACCTACAAGTTCTTACCAACAAAATCACGTATTACAGTCAACAATATGGACTTAATATAAACGTTAAAAAGATAAAGCTTATGATAATTAGCAAGAAAAGAATAACAGAAGGACAACTCTACGTTAAAAAAATCTCCTGAAGAAAGAGTGACGCACGGCATATACCTCGGCACCATAATAAATGAAGAATGGACCAACAACCAGGAGATTAGAGCACGCATCGGAAAAGCTAGATCTACCTTCAATCGGATGGGGCCTTCTTCAAGAGTCACAACCTCTCTCTTGATACAAAAGTAAGAATGCCGCGATGCTACGTCTTCTCTGTCTTTTTATATGGTGTTGAATCGTGGACCTTGAACGAAGATATGAGCAAAAAACTGGAAGCATTTGAGATGTGGCTATATTGGAGAATACTTAAGATCCCGTGGACTGACCGAGTCACAAATGAGGAGGTCCTTATTAGGATAAATAAGAACTGAGAAATACTGACCACCATTAAATCTCGAAAGTTACAATTCTTCGGACATATTATGCGAAATAAATCCAGATATGCTCTCCTTCAAGCCATCCTGCAAGGAAAAATGTTTGGAAAGCGAGGTCTAGGAAGAAGAAGAACATCTTGGTTGAAGAACCTCAGAATTTGGTTTAATACAACATCTGTACAGCTTTTCCGCGCTACTGCAGATAAAATAAAGATTGCCATGATGATCGCCAACATTCATAACGGATAGGCACATCAAAAAGAAGAAGAAGGATTAAATACTTGTGGGGATGGTATTAGGATGTTTTTTTCCTGTTCTTTTCCCTATGATTTAGAATGGTATCACTAACAAAAGAATTTTACTGTGATCATTGCATGTGGTTATATTTTTAAAGACAAATCAGATGCCATTATTTTGTTCATTTTTGTTTCAAAGTTTAATCAATGTAATACAATTAACTATCTTATATTAATTGAATGTCACTGAATTGTCAATATGAATGAGTCAGATAAATTTAAATTAGTAGAAAAATGTTTTACCAAGTAACAAAAACAAAATTTGGGTTGAGTTTACCCACAAGCTGAATATAGCCGCAAATGTCAACCATAAAATAAAATATTTCAGTTTGGCAGTGTTGGGGTGATTTTATAATTGTATGTTGTATGCTTCAAATATAAAGAGAGAAAGCTTTTAAAAAGTACATTTTGATTATACTATTTTATGAATTCTGCAATTTTTTATTTATTAAAATAATAATCAATAAATATTTGTCTCTTTAGAGATTAATTGCTAACATCTGTTGCAATCTGGCAACTGCTGATTTGACGATTGCCAAATCTATCACCTAATCTATCGAAGGGCAATTGCAAAAAAAATTCCAATAATTAACTGCAATTAATCTTCAAAGAAACAAATATTTACTCATTCTTGTTATACAAATCAAAAATTGCAGAATTCGTAACATAATATAATCAAAATGTTTTCTAAATATTTATCTCTTTATATTTGAAGCATACAACTTATACAATATAAAAACATGTCAACACTGCTAAACCGAAATTTTTTGTTCCTTGTTTAACATTTGCAACTATAATCAGCTTGTACTTTCGGTAAACTCAATCAAAATTTGTTAATTTATTAATATTTTGTATTTTAACCCTGGAAGGTCACACCGATTTTTTTAACATATACCACACATATGGGTATCAGATACCCAATGATTTTTTGTGAAGAAACAAAAAAAAGTTAATATTTTATGATTTCCAGAGACTGTCTAATCAGTATTGAATACACAAGAATAATTAAATCAATTATTTTATTTTATCTCTCTTAATTGTAGTAATACAAAAGAAAAAAATATTAAAAATATTTAAAAATAATTAACAAACATTTTCTAAAAAGCCAGAAATATAATTCAAAATATTTTACCTTAATTTAACAACAATATGGTCTTTCTAACTAAAAGCTAACAACTTCTTATTATAGAACTCATATTCATTCTTAGCCAGGAATTTCAATTTTACTCATTATGGTGACTACATTCACAACACAGTTTAACTCTATGCCCCATGAAGTATGCTTTATGGCAAGCCTAGCATGCATGCTTTGTTTTTCTATCTGTTCCTTTGCAGAAATAACATCTAGTTTGCTTTACTAAACTTGTGGAATGTTGTGTTGGAAGGTCTTCAACTTGAAGAAAGCCACACATTGTTTGCCTGAGTGATTTCTCTAAAGAAGGTATTTAGGGTCTCTCTTGAATTAGTGGTTCAATTAAAGCCATTCCCAAAGACTTCAGAAATGATCTTCTATTACTAGATGCATTTTCTTTCCAATGGGGAGTTGCGAGAGAATAGAGCACCATTGCATTTATACCACTTGCATCAAGCATATTAAAAAAATTTCCTAGTGGTCATCGTCTGGATCCAAGCAACCTGGCAACATTTATAACTCGTTCATGATCAATTTCACTATCACTTTTATCAGTACCGGTATTGGAGTTTTGTTCTTCGACATAATCCTCCTTAGATTCGGAATCAGTACCAAAGATATTTTGGCCATCATCCTCGTTGTTTTCATAAGCAAATACGTTTTCAGCTTTTCTTTCCACGTCAGCTTGGGTCAACGGACAACGTTTTTCCCAGTTTTATTTCTAACTACATGAAGCCATTTCCCAAAAAATTATTATAAAAGAAATTAATAAATTATCGCAAACCTCACACATGGGTGCTACATACCATAGCGTTTATTCAAAAAATTTTCGTGATTAGAAATATTGCTCGAATGAGACAGCAACTACATATCCGTCCTTGGCAGACTACAGACTGAATTTACATAAAGCGGTATTACCATTGAAATGCGGTTTAGCATGCTACATTCAGTTAAGTGTCTGGATGGGTATCTCACACTCAAGTGTGAGATTCCAGGGTTAAGAATGATTTCCGAAGTCAAAATAGAAATGTCACAAAAGCTTAATTTTAAAGTAAAATTGTGTAAAACAAAAATAGTAAATTTCATTACAATGACACAAGAAAATAGCTTTAGAACAATGTAATTGTTGTGATAATGTATTGATATTGTTAATGTTTTGTATTTAGGGAACAAGTTCCTAACAAAATATCGAAATGTTAAAATAACCGTATTTGAAAGTAAAATTAGTAAGGCTTATTTCCAGTAAAAATACAACATTTTCATATTTTTCTTTTTTGTTGACAGGGTCTTATAAAAGCGATATATAATAAAAACTAAAGATTTTTTTTTATTTTAGATACAGTTTATCCTAAAACTCCTCAATCCCAGAGAAACCCCAAAAGTAAAGTCAGCATATTGTTGAAAGATAAATACCCATGGAACAGCGCACAACTTCACGAAACCTTTTTATTGCCGAAAGATCATCGTGAGACAGCCAAAAGGATGTTTTCGGCAAAGACGAAGAAAAATCCGTTTTATCAAAAAGGTTTGAACTGTTACTCTGTTTATAGTCAGCATAAAAATGAAAAGTCATAGTCAGTGTTTTTAATGAGCTCGTCTTTGGTTAAATAACAACTTTTGGCAGTTATCACTATGCCCTATACATATGAGAATTGCATTGTATTTTATTTCTTATAACTATAATAAAAAAATATTATGAATTCTGTATTAGATTTGTAAAAACATTATTTGTCTTTTTCCAGTCACTGTGGAGTAAGACAGGTCAATAGCTTTAAATCGATTAATTCCCCTACTTTAAAAATTGTATATGCGCTAGGTGAGCTTTTTATTTTTAAGGGATGAAAACCACGCCTTAGTGAAAAATATTTAAAAAATGAATAGCATAATCTACAAAACCTATAACATGAAATTACGAGTTTGAGTTTTGGCAACAAGATAGAAATATATAACAATAAAACACTAAAAACTTTGTTTTTAAAACTTACACAAAATTTATTATAGAATCTTATCACTACAGCTGTTTCGTCAGAGTACCTTTCTCAAGTGATCTAATTTTGGCATGCGTTTACATTTTATAGTCTTTAATATTGTCTCAAGTTGGCCATTCAGAATTAAATCTGTGTTTTTTAATTTGTTAATTTCCATATTCCAGATTCTAACAAATATAGCTTTAAGGCCTTTATTTTGAATAAGAAGAATTTGAAATTCGTCATTAAAAGACTGATTATGATCTAGAAGGTGAAGTGCGTATGTAAAATCTGTTTTTTTTATTATTGAAAGCCCTTTTATGTTCTGCTATTCGTTTATTAAAATTTCTTCCAGTTTGACCGACGCCGACGTGCCACATTTAAGTTTCTGTACACCACTGTGTAAGTGCTTTTTATTTTGGCTCTTGTCGTTTTTAATAATATTTGCCTAGGTTTTCTTTGTTCTTAAAGCTGGTGTTATTCCTTTCTTTTTTATGTATTTAGCTATTTTTGTTGATATTTTGCATATGTATGTAATCGAGCAGAAGGTACTTGGTTTTTTCTCTGGTGGTGGAAATACTAATTTCAGGACTTTCTTATGTAGTTTTTGATTTAAAATTTTATTAATTGTTTGTTCGTTTTATCCAAGTTTACTACTATTTGCTTAATGATATTTAATTCTGTCTAAGTTGTATGTTGACTTCGGAATGTCTGTTAGTCTATGTAACATACTATGATGCCAGTTTATGTTGTGTTGAATGGGATGATGAATTATGTATAGTCGTGTCAGTATGGGTAAGTTTATGAAATATGGAGAACTCATGTTTGTTTTTAAGTGTAATAATTTTTAAATCTAAAAAATTTATGAATTAATTTTGTTCTGTTTCTATTGTAAATTCAATATGACTATGAAGTGAAGTTAGTTTCTGAGAAACATACCAGTACGTCGTCTACATATCTCCACCAATATAAAAACTGTTCGAATATGGGATGTTTTGAAATCTTTGTCTCTGAATGATCCATAAAAATATCTGATGGCAACGGGCTTAGTGGATTGCCCATTATAAATCCTGCACTGTTATTTGTATATCTTTGATTATTAAATTCAAAGTAGTTCTGGTTTAGGCAAATTTTAAGAAGATGTAAAATTTCAGATGTAATGATTTGATTTGTAGTATTTTAATCTAAAAGCTTTTTTACTAGAATAAAAGTTTCTGTAGGATTAATACTAGGAAAAAGATTTTTTACGTAAAATGAAATTAATCTGGAGTTGTTAAAAATGTTGTATTTTATTAACTAGTTGTATTGTATTCTTTATGCTAAATTTAGATAAAAATTTAGTGTGTCCTAAAATAATCTCTAACAGTTTTTTGGAAGTATATATGACGGAGCTGTATAAACAGAAAATACTGGTCTTATTGGGTAATCATGTTTGTGTAGTTTAATAAAAGCTATTGATTTTGAATTTTATAACGCTAGCTTAATTTGTTTTTGATACTGTTCTGTCGGATCTTTATGTGTCAATATTTTAATTATTCAAAAATTCTATTGTTTTTATTTATTGTTGTTATTATATTCTATTTTATCTATAGCAATAGTAGTGTTACCTTTGTCTGCTTTTGAAAACACTATGTTATTTTCTATTGATTTATTTTTAATTGAAATGACTTTTTTATTCTCTTTGTAACAGGAATTTTTGGTTTTACTACACACATCGGTAATGGATTTTGCAATTATACTTTTTTCCATATCGTTAGCAGTTTTGTTTAATGCTACTTCATACATCAAGTAACGGTCGAATCCATCAATTAGATAGAAATATGCCTAAAATACGCTGAATTTAACTTTTACATTTCAAACCATCTCACGTTACCGAAAATGCTTCCACAAAGACGGCTCTAATGTAGAGCTAAAGTTGTGAAGTTTTAAAAAACGTACTTGCACAATCGAAATGTAGAAGGTTTAAACATTTGAGATTAAACGTTTGGAATATTAAAGTTTAAATTCGGCGTTTTTCATAATTGTTGCTAAAAATCAAAATTTCATGCTATAGGTTTTAAAGATCGGGCTCTAAAAATTTAAATTCCATAGTTACCGGTCAATGAAAGTGACATATTATTGATCTTATAAAAATCGTAAAAAGTCGCACAAATCAGGCAACGTTTATTTATTTAACAGTTTTACAGAAACTGACTTTATTTGCGACCAAATGAAAAAATTGCGTACAAAATCGGATATATTGATCTTTAAAATGCATTTTGATTTTTGTCGATAGGATAATCTGATAAAAAGATATTGAATTTTTACCATGGAGTTAATACAAAGTTTACAAAGCAACTGACATTCAAAATCGCCAGTGGGGTTGTATCTGAGAGAACGGTTCACTCTACAGAAAAAGTGCTAATAAACATTTTTTGGAACACAAAAATTATCTCAGCTAGATTTCTTGTTTGAAACATTTTTTCTACGACGTACTGACTCGGTTATCCGTTTTTTCCCACCTAAGAGTGGCGGTTTTAGGTGAAAACCTGGGAGTTATAGAGGGAAACTTGTTTGCGTGTGTTTTGGGGTTCCAAAATTGACAGTCTTAGTAAAATTTAGCTTGTTCGTATGATTTTTAGAGGTTCAATTGCATTTTCGTCTCTAATAACTGAAGTAAAGAATATCTCTTATCCAATTTTTTGGATAAAAGTTTTGTCGTATTTTTTTTAAATTCCGTTAACTTTTAGATTTTTAATGTTCTTTTTTTTTAAATTTTCCTAAACTCTATTCTAAATCTTTCTTCTAATAATATGTAAGTTGATGATCTATCTATATATTTATCTCGAAACCATTTAGTTACCAATCTATGATCGATTTTCTTTCTTATCGTATTCCCTAGTTTGTCGACTAAGGAAATCTGTTTGTCGACCCCGAAGAATTTTACTATTTGGTGGATCAAAATTTTAGTGTTAAATTCTTTCATTAAAATATTTCTTAGCCTAGAATATGAAGTGTACGGGGAACAGAAACTTGTAAGGTTACAGAATGCTTGTAAAAAATTATAATTGTATTGTAGTTTAAAGCAGTTATTCTCATTTATTTTTATTTATTTTTACGGTTTGTCAAACATTTTTTAATTCACGTTTTGTGCTTTATGGACAGCGAGTCCATGATAAAAATCCAGAAAACTGATCTAATATAATCTATTTGCCAAAATACTGTTGTTTCATTATCCAAAATTTTATAAATAACAAATAAGCATCAGCACATAAACATAGTAGTATGGATCAAAATTTTTGTTATCCCGATAAATAAATATGTCAATATTTAATCAACTAAATTTAAATAAAGATTTGATGGCGTATGTTCTTTGTATGAAATTTCTCTGAAAATTTGTCTAAAATTTTTTTTCCTGGACCCCTCTTGCTCTTAATCTTGTTTTGGAGTATAACCTGGATTAACTCACAGTTTTCTTCGTTTCGGATAAATTGTAAATATATTGTAGTTTTTGAAAGCTTATGTAACCTAATAAATATCATGGTATTTTTAAGATGTTTTTTTAAGGTACTATCCCTGCAGAAAAACAGTTAGATATCAGAAGGGTAACTTTATGAAATTATTGCCCAGGTATAGGATTTATACTGTGGCGGAGAAACCAACAAATAGGTATATCTTCTTTCTCTTAGTCTTCGTCGTCCATTTTTGGACATATGCCTATTCAAACTTCTGTCATCGATCTCTATCCTGAGCAACATACAACAATTTGTTTCAGCTTGTTTTTATATCATCTACCTATTTAATCTGAGATCTTACCCAACCGTTCCTCTGTTCCTCTGTCATTATAACTAGCATTGCTCTTTCCATTACTATTTCTGTTGTACATATTTTATTCATATTTACCTTAGTTCGTATCCAAGTTTGATATCCATATGTCATAACAGGAAGGATGCACTGGTTAAACACTTTGCTCCTCCGGTATTCGGGTATTTTGTAATTCTTAAGTATCCCAACTGAGTTTTCCAAATCCTGCTCATGCCAGCCTTGCTCTTCTAGTGATTTCCGCATTTTTATTCTCTTTGCCAAGTTTGAATATTTGGTCTAGATAGATATATTCATGGACTTGTTCGATCCTACTGTCATTAATAAGTTATACTTCTTGTATCAACCGAATGTTAACAAGTCTTACGACATTACTAATAAAACACTCGTATTCTAAGGTTATTCCGTATTTATACCTAGAATAGTTATCCTAAGTATAAGGTAAATATAATACTAAAATAATTTGTTACCAATAAACTCGGTAGAAGTTAGTTATAACTATTCCCACTTTATTCCGAAAAAATAGTTTGCCAATGTCGCAATCTTTTGCACAAAAACATAGAACAACGAAATATTGAGCGAAATATGTCAATTTTGTTTTTTCTTTGAAACTGACAATGACAACTGACACCATATATATCTTTATTTGTTATTTTATATGTTGAGTTTGAGTATTGCAAATAATAAATAAATAATAAAAATTGCAAAAAACCTTACACCGTCTTTAGAAAACCCATATTTTATTGTAAATTCTCTA